GAGATGACTGGTTGTGTATTTACGAGTGTCTACTCGGACGAGGCGGTGAGTTTAAGTTTGCTTGTGGCTGGGGTCAGATGAAATCGTCTTTGAGGAGGTTGCCTGAATGAATGTGAAAAGGAGTCTCGGAACAATTTATTTAATACGCTGAGCTTAAGGTGTGCGGTGGCGGTGGATCGGCCGCGCCAGCCACCTGCGCCCGATCCCGCCTCCAGTCTTCTTAAAGGAGTGGGTGAGGGAAGAGAGATGGCGGTAGATGCTGCGCAATTCTACTGTCAATTAAAATTAATTCACACACAAGTCACCGTCCCTGCACTATCCTGTCCGGCGCATTTGGATATAGTCTGCCTGAAAAGTGTTCTATTTGTAGAAACTTATATGCTGTGTTACCTTTTTTCAATTGCCTTCATTTCCGCCTTTGCATTTTTAAATGCCTTATCTGTCAACATACGATTCGCAGGAAGTGATTGAGAAGAAGACGATTCGATCGTTGGAATAATACTTTTATTCGCTTGACGTTTCAAAATCCGCGATAGATTTCGAAACGTTAGGCGAATCAAAGTATTGTTCCAGCGATCGAGTCGTCTTCTTCTGCCTTATCCATGTTTGCGCGAGAAGCAAAGTAGGGGCGACGGCAAATGATCACAATGTATATGATCATTAAAATTAAAATTGCGCTCTAAATATTCTCTTCTTTTTTGGTTAATAGGTTCCGTTCCAGCGAAGGGTCATTCTTCATCCCTATCGGGTATGCAACAATTTCAGTTCCACCGGATTATTTTATGATAACCTCTATGCCCATCTCATGCAGCCGCCAACTATCTATCTTAAATTAGCAAGTAGAGCGTTTAACTGTCAAATATATAGCTGAAAAGGGAAGCCGTTTTGCGGTTTGTCTCGTATATTTCTTTCATCTTCAAGGTTGTAATTAACCACTTCAACATAAACAAAAGTCATAATGCCACCATAGAGCATCAATTATAAGCGTGCATGGCCAAAGAGAATAAAGACCATCATAAAAAACATCTTTTTGCAGAGCATTCTAATAGTAAACCATGCAGCTTTGTAAACATAGCCAGCCACCCTCGAAAACAAATAGTTTTAATTCTAAAGGTTTCAAGCAATGCGTGTGGTTCTAATGCTTTCTTGGTTTCACCGAAAATCGGAAGCCTAAGTTCTACCAATCTAAATACTTTTCTCACATGTTTCTTGAATAATCTGTCCGCTCCATGACGGTAGTTTTTGATGGCGAACATCCAAGATAAGCGGAATCACTCATTTGATTGTACTAATTTTTCTTGTTTTATTTAACCCAACCATTACTTCTGTGTGAATTTGAATGACACCAACTTTGGAATATGAAGGGTTTTGAATAAACTGATTTTGGGTTATGCATTTACGAGCACCCAAACTGCTGACTTTGAAAATTAGCACGACTATGGGATCAAATAGGTATTTTCAAAGATGTATCATAGGCAGAAAGAAATAACCGAAAAATATTGAAATGGCCAGTTCTGGCTTGCTATTCATCATCAGGCAGTCATACCGAATCGTAGGTGGTATCCCACCCGCAGCGCGAAGTCTAACGGGCTCGTTGCATTGTTAACATCTATCCTGGCTAATTATTAATTTTAGCTTGGTTTTCACTGATCTATTACAGAACTCACTGGTCCCTTTATGCCTTG